ATGACGGTAACCTCAGTGTGGTTTGTTTATGATGTCCAGTGTTCTATTGTTACTAGTTAGTTTAGTTTGCATTCTTAAAAACAATTTTTAAGGATGAAAAAGTCAGAAAGTTTGTACACGTCTTTGACTTTCTTCCTATTTTTTCAGCTGATCACTTCCTTGCATTGCATCTACCTCCCATTGCTGTTGTCTAGAGCTATTTCATAGGCGAGGTCTGTACCATAGTGGTAATTAGGAAGGGTGTGCTTGCAAAAGGATTTTGGCAATTGGTACTTTAATGGTATTTGACTTTGGATTTATGTGCGAGTCCCTTTAGCATTCAGGATGAAGGTTTGTCCTTTAATGAATGAGATAGATATGAGGTTGCATTTCTAAGTATTCTGTTTTTAAGAATTCTCTCTGATTGCTGTTCTTTTAGTTATGCGCATTATCATGTTAACCAACTCAGCCATCAATGGATATGGTTTATGTTAATTTCTCTGGATAGGATGTTTTGAAAACGTCTGTATAATATTATTTACATTCATCATATGCAGAGGCTCAGCTCCAAAGTCAATCTTGATCGCTTGGATAATTTATTTGATGATATTGTAAGTCTCTCCTTGAACTGTTTTGGTATTTGATGCATGTATACAGTATTCACTATGCATTGTACACGTATGCTTATCCATTTGAATTTTCCAAAACAGGAGAAAGTCTTTTTTTTTTTTTTAATACCCTGATGCTGCTGAAACAATCTACTTATTCCCATGTGTCACCCAAAAAAAAAAAAAATCTACTTATTCCCATCTTCTCTCTCATTAGCATATCATTATTCCCAATGTTTTTCTTAAACTACTCAACTCAGACAAAAGTCAATCTTCCAAGTGTCATTGCTGTTTCGTGTCCTTTGGCTTTAGTCACATCACATCATGACAATATCTGGAAGTTGCTTTGCGCCCCTGCGTGATCATGATGATCTATTATTTTATCTCCTTTAGTAACTGAAAACAATTATTTTAATATATTCTTTTAAAAAGGAAAATTCCTGACTTATTTTTGGTACAAAATATTAATTTGTTTTGACTGATGTTTTAGGATAGAACAGCATTTCATAATCGGGTTTGGTTTAGTTTTGCTCCATCTTCTCAAATGTCCCGTTTGAAACTGGCTTTGCATAGTTGTTAGTTGTGACTCCGCGCTCTGATATACACGAATAACAGCATGCAAAATCTGTTGTTTCAGAAATTGTTTTAAGCATTAACCTAGATAGAAATCAAGACCCTGGAATATTCTTACTTTCCCTGTACATTTATATGTTGTTCAAACAAATAATTCTAGGAGGCGTCAGTGAACAAGAAGGTACGATTTGAGCTGCACTCCCATAAAGGTGGTAAACTAGAGCCTGAGCCAGAGGACAAAGACAAAGGTGATGATATGGGATCCGTTGATAAATTTGAGTATGGAGGTTATATGGGCAAGGAAAATAATTTGCAGGAAGAAAAACTGGCGGAGTATGATTGTGGAGATGATGATTATAGCTATGATGATGATGACTAAAATGTTGCCGGAAGCTCCTGCTGCTTTAATTTTCTGTGGGTTTCTAGGATCCTGATCCAACGTGGCTGGCACTGGGTGAACTCATTGTCTGGGATGCTGTGTCTCCTTGCAATAGCGTTCCTCTTTCATTGTAGCTTCCTTGTATAGTCGTGGGGTTTTGCTATATCTTAAAATAAATTTGTTCCCGTTAGTATACCTTCACATGCATGGCAGCTTCAGGAATTTTGATTTCTCCCATCATGTACTTTCCTTTCTTCCTCGTTTGAGGGTCATGCGAGAATATATTAGTGCAAATATATACAAGTTTCAATAATATGTTATTAATTATTAGATATTCAATTCCCTTCCTTGAGCTCCTGTAACACCTATTCCTCGTTGATCATGGGCAGATCATACGCTTGTCAATTGATATCAATATAGATAGCATATTCTATTACTGGCACACTCTTCTCAATTCATGAATAATGCATATTATTTGTCAAATTTTGTGCAATATAGGGGAATGGGTATGATATCTAGTAAGTGGTTGGAATAGTATTGGCCAACTGCTGATGGTCAGCCACGCCTGCAAAAGATGCGTTTGCCCCTTCATTACCAGCTTGTGAATTAAGCACGTACCTTTTTCCGTCTTACAAAAAGTATGGTGTTCTTCTATGAATTTATCTTTGATGTTGGCTCTGAAGAACATCAGGTTGCCTTAGGACTTGTTATTTTTATTTTTTGTTTGCACAAAAATTTGGCAAAAGGGGAGCAAAGTAACTAGTGCTTTGCATGAGTGGACTTTTCACTGAATTATGTCTCCTCTGGGGTTCCATTTCTTTTGTCTATGACGCGTGCTACCACTTGCCATGAAGTAATGCAATGTACCTAGCTATTTTATGACAAAAGCACAAAAGAAGACGAAAGAAAGCGAAAAATGGATTACTTGGGCTTGGGGGGCGGGTTATTCATGTGATTCCTTTAGACTGAGTTTATGAGACTGGTAATAAAAGAAACCAGCTTTTTGGAATGACCGAATGAATGTGACGTCATTTCTGACGAGATCGCTACTTGGTGAATAACGTTTGGAAATGGCACGCCCACTACGAATGTGTGGGCAACTCGTAATCCAGATTTTTAGAAGTTTCAGCTTTTTCGTGATCCTGACGAGTAATATGATCCATTCCTCACTTATGAATGTTTAATCTCAATTGGAGTTGGTTTCACAATCTCTCGAGACATTCTTCCTCATCCGTCATATTTCCAATTGAGCCTATTGGAGAACTCGTTTGTGCTTCTTAATTTATATTGCTGACGTCACGGGTTAAGTAATCGAAACAGAATACAGCAAAGGTGGAAAATCAGATTAAGATACGTGCCTCGTATTTATTGATAAAAATATCTGTGGGCATAGCGTCACGTCTTTGGAACTGGAAACAGGACAATAAGTAAACACACACACACACACACATCTAGTAAAATACCACTATAATGGTATGGTTTGGAATTCTTAGATGTGATGTGCATGGGCAAAGAGGACTTTGTTGTTTTGTCTCATTCATTATTGCATTAGGAAGATCACTCGCAAATCGAGCCCCACTAGGATATAATCAACTTGTGTGATGACAAATTTTATAATTAGAAGCGGACGCTGATTAACTAAGATAAAAATAGAAGCGATATTAAATGTGTATTGCGTAATAGCTATGTCTGAAAAATAGGTTTGAGGGGAGAGACTACTTCAAGATTTGTTCAAAGATTGTTTATCTTACAAAAGATGACTGTTAGAAATTTGGGTAAATCTAGGCTTCTTTCATTGTGATCTAAAAAGCGTTGCACAAATGAATTTTAAACCCTTCAAATTTTTGGAAGTACTAGATTCACATAGGGGTGTTCAATTTGTCCCGTCCCGGTTCCGGTGAGTTCGGGACGGGACGGGACGGGACAAAAAAATTTTCGGGACGGGACAAGTACGGGACAGTGACCGGGACGGGACGGGACGCGGGACGGGGTTGTCCCGTCCCGTCCCGTCCCGGGATATTTTTTTTTAAAAAAAAATTATTTATTAATAATTATTATTAGATTATTCAATTTACTTATTAATAATATAATTATTTTATAGTGATTTTTAACTCTTAAGTTGTAATATTATCTCAACAATATCTCCTTCATCAATAAAATAATTCATAAAGCCATTATATAGTGTTTTTTTTATCGTATTTTTTTTTACAGTATTATTTTTACACTTTTTTTATACTATATAATTGAGTTTTTTACATAATATTTTTTATAATGTTTTTATCTTTGGAAACCTAACAAAAAATAAGCATTATAACATAAAAAAATTTCATATAAAAAATTATAATTTTTTTTTTTAAAAAAAAGGGGAGGGGAACGGGACGTCCCGTCCCGTCCCGGTTCCGTCCCGGTCCCGACGGGACCGGGACAAAACCGGGACGGGACGGGACACGGGACTAAAACCCTGTCCCGTCCCTGTTCACCGGGACGGGACCGGGACGGGCCTGTCCCGGTCCCGTCCCGTCCCGTGAGCACCCCTAGATTCACATCCATAATATCTTATCTTTTAGTCAGATTATATTTCGACGTAAAAGTTCATATCTTTCATTATGATCTGATCATGATCAAATCAATTTTGTATATTCATGCAATGTTTTATTATATTCATCTGTGAATTCATGCGAGGGCCATGAGTAATAATTAATGGAGTTAAATATGCATGCTATAAAATTCAGGGATAGAGATAACTTAGCCTTCATAACACATTAGTAAGCAAAATATATGAATATTTGTATGCTATTGAATTCCTCAAGATAGAGTTCCAAGTATAATTTTGAGTTTTAGAGAAAGAGAATGAATTGCTAGCTTCTTCGTTTCCCAAGTTTTTATAAGACAAAAATTGAGAGGAAATTAAAAGGTGAATGTAAATCCAATTTCTCTAGTAGATTTGTGATGGATCAATTATTGGATTCACCTGGAAGATCGTATTTCTTTTCTTTTCTTATTTTCCCAATTTTTGTTCATGGATTAATAAACATTTATAGGATTTGAATGTAAGAGAAGATATGACAGTAGTACTTGACAATACTAATGCTTCTCTTTCTGAAAAGATCAATAGTCTTAAATATCCTTTCCATACTAACTTCGTGTGTGTGAAGTTATGAAGAACAAATCAGCTATGTTCACTCTTTATTTTATATATAAATACACACAACACATTATATTTATAATATGGTGTGAACATCACCAAGAAATATTAAAAGCAGCATGTAGAACGGGACCAGTCATATCACCAGTCAAGTGCTTATTGATGCTGGCTTAGCGTGGCACTTAGTTACGTCCCCCCCCCCCCCCCCCCAAAATACAACTCAATATTCTCTTTTGCAGTGACCAGTTAAAATTCCCTCGAGTTACAGAGCATGACCCGTTTATTCTTATCTTTTTTTTTCCCCAATAAAAAAACATTACAATTGACAGAAACACACAAACAGACACAAAACAAGAACATAGATTCTGGAGTTAATTAAAGCATCATTATGCTGGGATTTTCGGGTTATGATCCGTATTGCTTCAGCCCCTCCTCCATAGTCTTGAGTTTCAAAAGCCATTCTCCTGATGATCCCTATAAATCCTTCATCCATATCAAACTGCTCTTGCATCTCACCATTTTCAAGCTTCAGTGTCTCCACCTGCATTAAGTTAACAAAAAGAGAGAAACTTTGAGAGACAAGCCCAAAAAGGACGACATGGCCGGCTTGAGGTAGCCAGGCACAGTACAGCAGAAAAAGCACAGTAGGCTAGACTCTAAAATCTTTTAATCGTTTGGCGGGTTACCAAGCTATGGCTAATAATATCAATTTATCAGCCTTGATCCGTAAGTTCCAGTTCATTTCCATTCTACAGAACCACTACTTACTCGACATGCTCGTGTGTGTGTGTGTGTGAGAGAGAGAGAGAGAGCTAACTTGAGTTGAAAACGCCAAAGCTGAGAGATGTTTTGTGTTCAAATTGTGGGTTCCTGTATATAACCAGAAAAGCAGAAGAAACGAGTCAATCTTCTACGGACACCAGGGAAGGAGAAGCGAATAGAGATTAAGATGATTGTTACTAGTTGCAGGAATGGCAGAGACAGAGAGAAGATATGAGAGTCCAAAAAGGAGAAGTAGGATTCTGATGGGCATCCTGAGATGCGGATGCAGATTAATTATGGCTTGGGCAGTGACAGCGTCAATACCTTCTGGCTGCTTGCTGTCACTACCTTCTGGCTGCTTAAATGCAGAAAGTTGGGGACTGAGATGCTTCATTACGCAAATTAATGAATGCCAAAAAGTCAACTTCGTAAATCCCTTATTTTTCTATTGCTTCTGCCAACTAGGACTGAACAATGAGCGGGGTGGGCTAACCTTCAGCCCGCCCATTTATTCATAAATGGACATGGGCTAACTCATAACCCGGTAGTAGCTCATTTAGCCCGTATTAAATGGGTTATGGGGCAGCCCGTTTGGGCTAACCGGGTTACAGGATAACCCATTTATTTTTTTTTATTTTTTTCAGTATAGTTATTTTGTATATGTAACCTTATGAAGCTATCAATAAATTTTGCATGCCAAATAGCAAATCAAATATGAAATAACATCAATCATATTCAATCACCCAACCTCACTTAGATTCGCAAACAATCAAAGTCTGATAAAATCATAAAAGTAGTCACCAATCATAAAGTCTCATAAACTTTGAAAGTTCCAACTTTCACCTAAAGGATAAAATAAAAGCTTAGACAAGCATAAGGTTTGATAAAAGATGAATGAGAAACAATATCATCAATTAAATGAAGAATAAAAATATTTTTAAAAAATTAAAACTTAAACGGGCGGGTATGGGCAGCCCAATACCTTGCCCATAGCCTAACCCGTTTAATGGGCTACCTTGCCCATTTAAGCCTGCCCGTTTATAATTTCTTATTTGGGCTAATTGGGCGGGCTTAAATGGGCAAAAATTTCATGGGTCATGGGCGGGCTAGCGGGTAATGGGTTTATTGCTCACCCCTACTGCCAACTTGCCTTAATGCTATTTCTACGGAGTTATTAATTATCTTAAACAAAATTATATCATTTTTTAAGCTTTGACTAATTTATATGTGTTATGAATATAATATCTTTGTGATGTCTATGTATCTCCTGTTATCTTCTATATCTCTTATAATTTCCAATATCACCCTTGAATAGAATTAAAAATACTCTCACTTATTGCTCATATCTTCTTTTTTATTATTCTTCTCTATTTCTTCTTTATTTATAACAACATGTGTTATTTTAACAACTAGTTTATCCAATTTGTTATCCATTTTTATCAACAAGTTTAATTTTCACATAATCTTTTTGACACAAATAATTTTATCTCTTTATTTTTTTCAACTACTATCATGTTAAGAATACAGGTGTTAAATTTTAGTTATTATGCAAGAAATTGTTATAAAAACAAATGAAATGAAATACATTTACACTATAAATCAAACCGATATTAGACCGGTTGTGTGCCTAACCTTCAAAACAGAAGAATATCAGTAATTTACTTAAGGCCCTTTTTAATAATATTAAGAAAATCAGTATACGCAGTGTTGGGGGAAAATTCAGATGCATAACACAATTGATTAAAAAAAAACGAAGAAAAACCAGTATCTTTTGGTTTGTTGGCCGACTTATCTGGCTAGAATTTAAACATTTATATAACTTTCCACGAAACAAGCCCCTTTAGTTGAGTTAATTTTATTATCATATATCAACTTATCTTAGTAGCTTATATTCTGAGTGTTAAAATATTTAATAGATCTCTCTGGGTAAGAATAGACATATGATATGCCGATTCTGCAATTTTTTTTGTCTTGATGCGTATTCTAATACGTTGGGTTAAATTATAAGCAGACTGGAGGAAGTTTCATTAATAAAATAAAATGCAAAGAGCACTACCCTTCCTGACAAATGAAAAACATTCAAAGCCCAAATAAAAAATCTGATTTATAGTATAAATTATATTACAAATTACTACCTCTAGTCTTAATTATAAGACCTTATTTACAGACTATAAACGAGGTCTTATAAGTAGAATCGGAGGTAGTATACCTTATATCTAAGACTATAAGTGGTAGGGTGTCTATACATATAAGCTTCATACTAGTTTAGTGACAACCCATTAACATTAATCAAAACATGAATCATTCTGTGAATATCGCGATGTTTAGAGATTCTGAAGAGTTTATTATCATCCGTGTGTCAAGGATTTGGAGCCGTCTTTCTAATAATCTATACGTTTATTGGTGTCCGTTGGCATATAACCGAGTGGGAGGTTGACTTTGACTCCTATATGGTTTCCGCTTTCTTTTTTTCTCCCCTGCCACGTCATCAAAGAGGGGATGAAATTTGTCAATTTTCTTTCCTTTTTCCACCTCCGGGATGACACTGCCGAAACTAGCTCATATGTATCGACTAGGCGGTATCTGGTTAAAGATCTGATGATATAAGGATTAGCCTTGACCTCGAAATGCATGTTACGTAATGAAGGGTAATTTTTTGAAAAATAAAAGCACATTAAATATAGAGACAAGAGGATTATTTTCCTCAAAAGTCAACTGACGAAGTACAACTTTGTTGTAGATATGAAAGTGGCTATCATGGACGCGCATAGAAGGATCATACTTTTTTTTGGTGGGGGGCGGGGGGGACCTCTGTTTCCCATTTCACCTTCTCTTCCCCAAGTTTATTCTTCACACAAACAACAACTCCCCTTAATAGAATTGTCTTTATTTTACTGTACAACAATAAAAATACATCTTTTTTTTAATATTGTTGTTAACCATAACTATTTTTATTTAAATACTACCTCCGGTCTTAATTATAAGAGCCAGTTGACTAATTTGAGGAGATTAAAGAAGTAAGTTGAGTTAGTTATTTGTTCTAAATAGGTGTTGTCTTTCCTAAAATATCCTTACTAATCAAGTATATTGATTAGAACTATAATTATTAGAAGGACTATCTTGAAAAAAATTGAGTAAATATGAGAGACAAAGTGGATTGGGGTCTTATATTTAAGACCAAAATAAAAGTCAAATAGGGTCTTATATTAAAGACCGGAGGTAGTATATTATAAGTAAGCTGTATTTATTGAATTATTTATTGTATTTTATTTTGTGTGTCATCCCACCTTCGTCAAAATCCGCGAGCCACAGGCCGCACGGGATCGGATATGTGGTCAGAAAACTGGGCTGGTCTATTGGGCCTGATAGGCCTATCCAAATCCTGACATTCCACTAGCCCAAGTGTGATGTAGAGGGAGTACATGGCGTAATTAGTAAAAGCGAATGTAGTTATAGTTGGTATACACCAGGTTATTCTGATTCGTCTAATTTTTTAATTATTTATACAAAGAAGAAGAAGCAATTGAAAAAAAAAAAACCTCTTCATGGGGTTTCCCTTTTGTTCTCTAATAAATAAAAAGATTAAAAAAAACAAATGAAACATTGAAATTAATATATGTTTGTGAAAAATCTAAACCATTTATATATATAACTCGACAACAGAGTAATGCTCCTTCTTTTGAAGCAAAAAGAGAATCTGCCTGCATTTCTCCAGTATGTATGGTTGGATATATATCTTCGATGCAATGGACCAATCTCTTGGGCTAAATAGATTTTAGTCCAATTGCCAATCCATTAATTATAATCAACGTCTGCTTGAATTGATAGAATTATATTAATTAATTTATAACGTGGCCAACTAATGGTGTTATTAGCTTTACCTCCATCAAGAATTATATACGTTTATAGTGGGTTCTAATCAAAGCAGTATAATACAGAGTCCCTACTTAATTTAACTAAGTAGTTGTTTAGGAAAAAGGAGATGACTAGGGATTAATGAATTGGTGGGGGATATATGAACCTTTTCCAGGTGTCGTAATTATAAAAGTTTTCTTAGATTAGCATGATATCATATTGCATGTCTAGGTAACAAGAGGCATCATCTGAGAGTACCGGACAAAAGACGCAACCTGAATTGATGTGTTTTATCCTTTTTAATGTGAAATTAACAATAACAAGTAGTATTTAATTTGATTCAACCCTACAAAACCCTGGATGATGATGAAGTTGGACACATGAGGGGATGATTCATTAATGAGAGGGTTTTGTTGCAGGGACTCAGCTTTATGTATTACCTGCAAGATGCTAACATAAAATGCAATAAACAAAAAGCCGGACTGGACCGGTGAGTTCAAACCGAAAACTGTCGAACTGCCCAGTGGTCTGTTCTAGTTTAGTAATAGAATAAGAGGAAGATTGAACCGAAACAAACCGGATTAAGCCGGTATAAACCGGTCACACCCGGCCAACCTGTTAGTCTGGGCGGTTTAACTGAGTTGTTTGAAAAAATAAGAAGAAGAAAAACTTGAGGCTGCTTCATCCGCCTAAGGAAAAAATAAATGACTGAAGAAGAAGAAAAATATAAATAAAAGAAAGATGACCGTTTTCTTCCGTTCCTCTAGCTCTGCAAGTTCGCTCTGTAAATCAAAGAAAAATTTATTCCCATCCCTCTGGCTCTGCAAGTGCATCTAGACGAAGGTAAGAGGGCATGGAGGTAAGAAAACGAAGGAAAGGAGGAGGGAAGTGACCGTCACAAAGAGAAAGAAAGAAATAGAGAGAAGTATTAAAGCAAGAGAGAGAATATTAAATCATGAAAGAAATTAATAAAAAATGTGGAGGGGTGAGTGGTGACTTTTTCAAAAGTGATAGGACGGAAAGTAAATTTTGAAAAACGTGAAACATAGAAATGATAAGAGGTGAATAAAAAATTGAATTTTGAGAAAAATAAGTACTATTTAATATTTATCTCATATTATTTACTATATATGAAATTTGTTAAATATATCCTTTACTATATATTCTCACATTTACTTTTTTTAATTTATTATTATTTGATATTTACTTCATATCTTTATTTTATTTTCATTCAAAATAACTAACACAAAATTTAAAATACAATATTTTGATTTCTGATCACAGGTTAATTCTGACCTAACTCATTAACTTTTGACTTAATATCTAAACCGGTTTAATGACTACTTTGGTTTTTTGTTCATTGATAAAGTAGCCTTATTTAGTAGAAGCACCATTTGTTGTGCTTTGTACGTATGTGTTGTTTTATTATAAGGCTCCTAGTCCTTATTCTTGACACCCACCCACCCACCAACACGCTTTGTGTCTCGAAGAAATAGAATTTAAAAAAATTTGTGCAGGTTTTAAGCCTTTATGAAGCAAAAGCTTTTTTTTTTTCTCTGGCCAAAAAAAAAATGAAGCAAAAGCTTTTTTAGATTGCTTTCTCATTATTGTGGACAGGTGTAACTTGCACTTTTACTCCATTATTAAGTTTACAAAAATAATTAAGGGGGTGTTTGGGTAAGATCAAAACTATGATTTCAGAAGTGCTTTTATAGTATAAGAAGTAAATATGTGAAAGAGTTTGCCTCGATTTGCGGAAAAATACTTCTGAAAAGTGATTATTGGGGTATCCAAACACCCTCTAAGAGTTTTCTACTATGTACCTCAGTCAATAGTGGAATTAGGCACTGCGCCACTTTGACATATGCACTGATCTAAAGGAATTCAAAGACTTGCTTTCTCCTCAAGGGGTAAGGAAAAAAATCCAGAGATAAATTGAACAAATTGTGTTATTTTGGAGTTAAGGGAAAAGGATATTAATTTGCTAACAAGTTTGGCACTAGAAAATTAACTTCTCTTCCAGTTGAGTGTTTGATATATCGACTTTGAATGAAAACCAAAACTTGAAACATTGGAACTTATCAAAGCGATGAATTTGGGTCCTCTCAACAACAAAAGAGAAATGGGCAGGTGGAAAGCTTAAGCAGGGGGTTAGGTCCATTGGCACAAATAGTTTAATTGGAGAGATGATTGAGAGAGGCAAAGGCATGGCATTATGAGATTCTAAAATATGAATAGTGAGGGACCTGAGGGACTAGCCTGGGCTTATGTTGATACACTGAGTGACACCTAAACCAGGAACAAATATATTGGGAAAGCGGTGTGTACGGTCAAAGATGATGACCCCCATCAGGGTGCTTAACACCCACCTACCAACGCAATCACTCTTTACAAACTAAACACATTCCATCTCACATCTAACTATAAATTATTTGGAACTGGGGCCACCTTAACCCCACTTTGTTTATTTTCATTATAGGTACTCGTGTCAAAACCTCAACAGTGCAAACTCCAATTATTGAGGCTTCCTAAAACTGTATATGCTACAAGTGTACTACAGTCCATATGTCTTTTCATTTGTAAAATGAAAGAATCTGATGCAGACATACAATGACACTAAGTAATTAGTGTGTTATTTCTATTTTCAATTTGTGTGTATAACATCTTTTCGTGGGTATTAAAGAAAGTGGTGGACACACGAGGGTATATAACCATATATTATCTGTACATGAGAGAATAGAAGGATTTGGCATCTGGGCCATATTGGTACTCTATGGGAAGTCAATTATGCAACATTATTCTTCTTGAAAGGCTTTAGGCACAGATAGATAATATTTGGACGGTGTTAATTATATTATAAGGCACATACACATATATAACATATGCTCAAATGAACAGAATTTTGTATCAAAAATCTGCGATAAAATGATCGTGATCATGCGTAGTTGGTACACTACAAAAAAATAGACTTTAGGCGACGACTTTCGGCGGCGACAAAAAAAGTCGCTGCTGAAAATTCGCCATTGAAACCAAGACTTTCAGCGGCGACAAAAGTGTCGCCGCTGAAAGTGCACCTTCAGCGGCGACTTTTTTTGTCGCCGCCAAAAGTGGACTTTCAGCGGCGACTTTTTTTGTCGCCGCTGAAAGTATAATATAATAATATATATTTTATTTTACAATATTAATAAACAAATTGTCAAAAATGGACCTTCAGCGGCGACTTTTTTTGTCGCCGCCGAAAGTGGACCTTCAGCGGCGACTTTTTTTGTTGCCGCTGAAAGTATAATATAATAATATATATTTTATTTTACAATATTAATAAACAAATTGTCGAAAATGGACCTTCAGCGGCGACTTTTTTTGTCGCCGCCGAAAGTGGACCTTCAGCGGCGACTTTTTTGTCGCCGCCAAAAGTGGACTTTCAGCGGCAACTTTTTTTGTCGCCGCTGAAAGTATAATATAATAATATATATTTTATTTTACAATATTAATAAACAAATTGCCGAAAATGGACCTTCAGCAGCGACTTTTTTTGTCGCCGCCGAAAGTGGACCTTCAGCGGCGACTTTTTTTGTCGCCGCTGAAAATATAATATAATAATATATATTTTATTTTACAATATTAATAAACAAATTCAATCTGGCTCAGCGGCAAGAAGGTTGGACACGAAGGGAGGCGGTCACGAGTTCGAACCTGGAAGAAGACACATTTAAGGTGAAAATATTTAGACGATGACGTGGCGAGGAGGAGTGACGTGGCAATGACGTGGAGGTGGCTAGTGATGATGTGGCGGTCGGCAGTGATGACGTGGAGGTCGACGGTGCTGACGTGGCTGCCGGAGACGATGACGTGGCACCGGCGGTGATGACGTGGCATTGGTAAAGCCAATTCTTATTAGGCATTACTTTCAGCGGCGACAAAAAAGTCGCCGCAGAAAACACTTTCGGCGGCGACATTTGTCGCTGCTGAAAAGTCTTTCAGCGGCGACAAGAGTGTCGCCACCGAAAGTGTTTTCTGCGGTGACAAATGTCGCCGCCGAAACTTCTAAAAGTTGCCGCTGAAAGTATCTTTTAACGGCGACCTTTTTAGTCGCCACTGAAAGTTTTCAGCCACGGCTGCTACGGCAACAACTTTTCAGCGGCGACTTGTCGCCGCAAAAAACTTTCGGCGGCGACTTTTGTACTTTCAGCGGCGACAAAAGTCGCCGCTGAAAGTCAATTTTTTTGTAGTGGTAACAGTATGCAGAGAGATATAAAATGTTGTATATATACAGAGATGTTCTACTATTAATAATTTTAGGAGCATATTATTCATACAAAGGTTATGCTCAAATGAGGACCATATATAACTTTTAAGTAGTGATCAGACTGCTGTCTCTAACCACGCATGGTAAAACTAGATCGCAGAAGTCCAATGAACTTGTCATTTCACAGCCATGCGTATCAGTTCACAAAAAAGTACAACTAACCTTTTGCTAACTCTAACCTAGCACCAATGACAATGCCTTTAGTTTTTTGTGAGCCTATAGTATAAACTGTTTATTTTACAGGACCGTGCATGTTTATCTTTATATGTGTGAGTGTGACAAGTAAATTATGCAAAGCTGATTTATATAAAAGCTACCGATGGGAAATCTATCAATATGGCATCTAGTAGCACCTTTGTTTTGGAACAGAGTCCAAAACTTCTAAATGATGAATATGCACGTCCCCTTATTGTTCAACAAAAATGTCAATCATATCACATATTTATAAGCATTAATTGAGTCAGGGATTATCAACAGTAGAAATTTGACAAGTGCAAGATAACCAAAAAAAAGACAATATGCATAAGATTATTTCATGTAGTCAATCTGTGGGTCAACAGGACGAGATAAATGGTTATTCTTTGTTTAAATCTTTGTTTTGCATGTGTATGGGGACGAGGGTAAAAGGAAGCCATTGGTAAGTCAAAACAAAGTATGAGAATAACGTAATCCCGTAAGAATACCAAGTTAACTTGATCGGCTTGAGCTGCTTATATGGATGCCTAATAATGAGTTGTTAATCTAACAAAAGACAATACGGTTGACCACACCAAAAAAGAGTGAGAATACCAAACAAGTTGGTGCCTTCGTATGTGCTTTGTATTATACGTAGTGAGAATTGTTGATATTGTTTTTGTAGATATATTTAATTCAACTATTCTAGCCCAGCCCTTCTATATAAGGACCTTCACCACCCTTCCCCTTTGCACTCACCAGCCTTTGCTCTTCCAGCTGCCTAGTCTTCTTCTCCTCTTTCTCTTTCAGTCGCTCATAATATTATCTTCTAGCTCAAATTTCTGAGATCATGGAGAAGAAAGCCCTCCTCGGACTTGTGGTTATCCTTCTAGCTCTCTCCCATGTTGCTTCTGTTCCTGCAACCAGTAAGTTTCTAGGGTTTCCTTTTTAATCCTTTTAGGGCTTTGAGAATTTGTATGATTTGTTGACGCATATATTATTTGGACTTTTAGAATACATACTTATGATTTTGTCCGCAATTTATAGGAAGCCTCCTGGCCAAACAAGCGGATCCATCACCAGTAGTGCAAGATCATCATGTTAAGGTCCCTTCTCTCTCTTTTCTTTTTTTCGACGATCCTTCCTCTTGGATCTCAACTGGTGTGGATTTCACCACATATCAAGAAAACCCGTGAAGCTTTGGGTCCTTAAAAATTGAAATAAAAGAGGGGAAAAAACTATAAATAACCTTCAAAACAAACCATATGCTTATGTCCTAGCTAACTGGCAATCCGACATAATAAATTTGGGTTTTTCACACACATATATATACTCATTTACTGCTCTATATATGGGACAAAATGATCAATATATGCAAATTAATTTCTTCCGAATTATACAAGCTACAGCCCTTATGAATGTTAAATATATATCTATCTATAAGCAACTATATCATTGGTTTTATGGCCAATTTGTATATTTAAAAAATGAATAATCTGGTCTTACCTTAATTAGCTACTGTGAGCTCATAACTGTTAGAGTCATACAGGAGGCCACGAACTTAAAAACCAGTACTGAGGAGGCTTTTGAGGTGGAGAAAGAAGCAGGAGAGGGCAGAATAATGATGGATGTTGTGGACTATTCTGGACCAAAACCAAATCCAGCACATAACCCAAGATCCCCAGGAAAACCTGGGTTTTAATTACTAGAATATATAGATTTAGACATATGTGTGTGTGTTTGATGTGGTTTAAGACTGAAGAATGATCTTAAATAATAGTTTGGATTTCTTCGGTGTGCTTGCGCATGTATGTGTGTAGTGGGCGCGCGTGCCGGTTAGCGTCTCTGTTGAAGGATTCAGCTCAGTTAATATGGGCTGATTGGTATATCTGGAAGCTGTACTCTTCTATTCAGAAAAGTCTAATGCAGTTTGTTTGGTGGATCAATATATGTATAATATTATCGTTGATCAGTTATGCAATATCTCTATTAAACTTTCTATAGTTAGTTAGTGACATCCGAATGAATTAGACTTTTGGTTTCCACCTGTGATTTATATATTACGTGTTACAGTCATACATGGACACAGTATTATTAATTTCAAACGACGAGTAGTGCAGAACACATTAATTCATACATGCACATTTATGTTACACACAGGGCTTGATGAAGAGAAAATCTGATACGACACCATAAAAACTAGGCTTCGAATAATGTCATATGTCTGGTCCTCGAAATTGAACATCGAGATTTTATCCTTCTGATGTTTATAGGAGATGGCATTATCTAACCTTACTTCTCTTCACCCACAAACAATCCAAAAGCTCGCTCGGCAAAGATTGCCAATTTAGCTGCCAGAAAAATTATAATTAAGGAGCTCGAGATGATAATATTTTGCTTCATTTGATTACAAATCATCCAATTTAAATTTTTTAAAAAATTACATTTTCCTTTGTATATACGAAATTTAAGAAATGAGCCACACTATTTGCAACAATTTTAAAATAAAAGAATCAGCTCTTCATATATTTGCAATCCGGTAGGGAATTCCTTCTGCAGGCTGTAATCAGAATGAGAGAATCAGTAAGCGTTCTGCACAATGCAAATTGACTCTGTTAACGTACAAAACATGAATGATTACATACACGTATTATTGTTAAATATCATAATTAAAATTATTTATACTTTTTGTTTTATGGGTTAAATTTTATATTGATATTTTTGGGGCCTACGTATATGAGAGTTCTTAGGATTAAAGAGTACAGCAAGTGTTCAATTTTTGTATACTCTAGTTAGTTGTATTTTCTCAAGTAAAATCAATTGCTCGTACAAAATATAACAGATGTACTTTGTCCATTGAGCTCAAAAGGATTTTATGTGACTGGACATGTTAAAGATTATAATAGAATTATACATAAATATATACTTAATATTTAATTTTAAATCTCAAATTATAAATAGATAGACACTTTAAAAACTAAATAAAAAAAGATCTGGAGGACAGTAGATTGTTTTGTTGCCTGCATGGAAGCACTTAGGACCTTTATTAAATTAAATGCCTGTGGATGAGAGAATTTTTTTTTTTTAAATCAGCGCGCGGTTGAGAAAATATCGTTAATCAAGTATCCACGTCAATTAGTTAATCGATTACAAATGAAGCAGAGATCCATTCAAACGTGGTTTATTCTTAATCACATAGTCACAACTTTGACTGGCTGGTTACATTGCAATTGGCTGAACAGACTGGAATATTTAAATTAATTATATTAATTCTTAATTCACTCCCCGAAATCTCCAAATCCGACAGTAACATTGTAATTATGAGAAAATAAAAATCTTACTATTAAAGACTAGGCATACAAAGGAACTCTTTATACACACACACACACACATACATAAAGCAGCTCATTATGGTTTAAGAACTAATTGTGTTTATGGCTAATTATATTTAAGTAAGCGTCCATACGAACGATGAAGCGCCGTATTTCCATAATGGTGCCTGATGAGATATTTTATATTTGTTTCGATGTGGTGATTTGACTTTGGAGCATGCGGATATTTGTTGTTTATTCATCGATGGGAAGAATAATTATAAACGACTGACTGAAAAGTGGGTTAAAGACAGGGAACAGTGTGATTATTTTACTGGGTGGACTTGCGTACGCGGTCTCTTCGGAAACTATAGAATTAAAATAAGCAGATGTTCACATGATTGATCGTATTAAATATCTAATTAATCATGTATTATTGCAGAAGGTAAAGTTAGAGGCTGTTGTATATAGCCAGCACATATAGGGCATCGAACATACAGATTTATGGAGGATTAGATTTTAATCATCTAAATAACGTGTCTGTAATTCATTCAGGATTAATTAATCATCTTGAAGATCTGGTGGAATTTCTATGAGTAGCGATGTCTTGCTTTTTGGTCAAGTTACAGCTTGCACTACAGGAGTAAATGAAAATACATTTTAGTTTCATTTATACAGTTAGTTTCTTTCAGTGCGAAATAATTCTTATAGTAGAAGAAAGAAAATATTTGCATCAACTTTATATCAATTACATCATATTAAATTCTTCAATCACACATGATCATGTGTTTTATTTTTAACATATTATTCATAACATTTTATATTATTAAATTATAAATTCACATAAAAAAACATACATTAATATATAATTGTAAAACTTGGCATAACAAATATAAGAAATTTGACATGAGTTTTTCTCATAGAGGAAATCAAGCTCACGCATTGGGAAGGATTTATTTTGACCAGAATTTGTCTTCCCGGACATGATAATTAGTTTATTGTGACGGGATCCGGTAATCAAGTAGCTTCTACTTGGTTGTTGTTTTGTGCAATCATTCTGCCAAGAGACAAGGGGTCCACAATTTGCAAAGCAACGGAGTTAAGTGGAACATCGATAGTACGGCAATATATAATGAGAGGGATGCAATTAATTAGCTAAAGATAATCAATTAGCCGTCATAAAACATTAAACAAATGTTTTGCTTTAATTAAAACCACGACTTTGACAATGTGACGATAAGGACGGTCACACTCAGTACCAATTTGAACATGCCCCTGCCCAATTATGGCTGTGGCAAAATGAAACCCGTGAATTAATTAATGGTGTGTGGAAGACCTGAACGGGACAAATGGGGGCCAAAATAAAAGGCCACTTATCTGGAGAATAAACAAATGAGAACGGAAATGCTCCTCACGTACTGGGTAGGACCATTTTAAGACTTAATTGTAGCTGGGCATGATTATGTCTCAGTGCATGCCCAGAAACAAGCCTTTCTAATGGCTGTGAATTTGATTTCTGAAGCTATGGATGTGGTATTTTCAGATGCACACACACACACACATAATTCGAGTTAGTAGTGGCATTTCTTTAATCGTCCGGATGCAAGTACCAGCATAAACTAGGGTTCAATTCCTGTTTTTTTTCCAATTAAATAAACAAATTAGTGTACCTTATACACGCTGGGATTGGAAGCAACGAGCTCGTTAGGACCTCGCAATCATGCTCTCTTTATTTTATTTCATTTTTGTAAAAAAATCTATTTTTCTTCTCAAAATGACAGTTTGCAGTGCGTACATATGAAATGGAATTGTTTAACTTGAAGAAATATTAAAATTTACCTGCTTCGAGAAATATATACAGCTATTTTATTGTCATGTGTGCGCGTGCCTTCTTTTACCAATTTTTGATTTAATAGTTATTTTGACTGCAGAGATAAATTTTTTTTGGTTAAAGTATAGATATCCTCCTATTAGAGACAGTCATATTCGAGATACTAATAAACACTAAATATGAGCATCTCTCAATGACGATTTAAATATTAGTTTGTCACATTATAAAAGATTAGTTTCTTCCACTAGATTTCATTAGATCTGATCCCATGGGGTGCAATGATAGCCACTTGGAAGTGATAGAAGTCATTAGCGGGGGGTGTAGGGCCGGGTCACATGAGGCCCAATTAAGAGGAGATTGGAGATTAGCGGGTAAAGCCCATCTCTAGAATGGGCTTTGCGGGGAGGGGAGGAAGAATGTCAGGAGTCGGGAGCAAAACAAGCGTGCAGATATCTCTGCATTAGTTATATTGTTTTTCTCTTCTTCTTTTTATTTATTATCTCTCACTCATCATTTTTATAAATAAGTATGTGTATCTATAGAAAGAATATTACATTTTTATAAATTTACGGTATTTTAATTAATTTTTTGAGCTTTATATTTACGTCAGATGGAGAATTATCTAAATTAATATAAACGCACAAATTTAACTGGTTTAAGTACGGACAAGGAATGAACGAGTCAGGATATGGGAATTTAATCATTTAATGAGCAAGACTGCACATCATTACTAATACGCCCTGCGGTGCTTATAACTAATTCGTTGGTAATAAATAGTTAGTTAAAATTAATTAAAAATAATAAATAGGTTAAAACTAGACTTATGTTTTTAAGTACACGTTTATAATAAATAAAAATAATAAAAAAAGAATATGTAGAAAAATGTGACAAAAGATGAATAATTAAGGATAGTATCAAAAAATACATTAAATATTAAGATAAACTTAAATTAAAACTTATAAAATAAAGCATACTACTTTTCAAATTTAAAACTTATAAATAAAACTGGAGGGAGTAGTAATTTTTGTTATTCAAGACAACAAGCTAATAGTACTACTACCAATATTATGATCATAACTTAAAATGCAATCAATGCTTAACAAACGCAAAGGCGACTCCCTCTCGCGTCTCCATCAAGTGGAGACACTATTACGACTGTAGATCACTGGATTGAATTTGATTGTTTAAACGAGTTCATAATATAAGAGCTAGTTTAGACTAAAAAAATTAGTTAAGTTAATTATTTATAATAAATAAGTATTATCTTTTATAAAATACTATTACTAATAATGAGTACTAGCTAAAATTACAATTTGATTATATCTTTAACATATGTAACTACTATAAAAATTATTTTAAAAAAATAGATGAGTATGAGAAATAAAATGAATTAAAATATTATATTTAAAATTAAATTAAAAATCAAACTAAATATTAAGAAGTGGCATTTAAAAGCACATATTATATTATTTTATACTGCCTTTTAAATTCCATCTGTACAGTTGCAAGCTGCGGCAGCGGCACAGTAAAAAGAAATGGCAGCAGAAAAATGCCAGGCGCAGCAAAATAATATGACGTTAAGAGAAGTACGCAGCAGCACTCCCTTGTTATTGAAATAATGGTAATCAATAGGATTGAATCTAGTATAAAAGGTTAGTCCTTCGTGACATAATAAACTAAGGTTCGAATTCCCGTTAAGAGATGTGCTTATATTTAGTACCTGATAGTACTTCAAATAAGATTGTTTTCAATAAAAAATATCTATGCTTTATCAAAATAAAAAAAAATAATGGCAAATGGTGAATATGAAATAGCAATGAGAGGGGGAGATATGATTGGAGAGGGGGGGAGCACGGGGGAAGTGAGAATGAAGCAAGCTGGAAGGAAGGAACTAAACTTAGTAAATGACGCCATATTTATATTATTTAGATTGAGATTATATATGCATTCATGGCAACTTGGAATTGTTGTCGTTGATGCTTCCTTTTTAGTAAAACGCAAGTCACAAGCCGTCGTGGGCCCCATCCGTCACCACCCAATTGTCGGCTCCTCACTTTGAACCCGAAGCCTTCAAGTCGGCTCATGCCAACCTCCCCTCAAGTCGGCATCGCCATCCCTCTTTATAAACTCATCATCATCTTCATCTTCGCCCTCTCTTTGCATTCCATACGTATCAATCACTCTCCGACCCCTCCACGCACTAATATACTCGGCCCCCAAAATCAAAAACCCAAACAAAACAAAATGGTTTTCGTTGGAAAACATTAATTTCCCTGTTAATGTCAACGAGGCATTAATGTACCCAGATTTTACATTCAATGGGAGCCATTACTCGTATTAAACACAACGTGTTCTCACCAATGTGTACGGTTTCTGTCCCCGTATCCCAATGTTTTTTATATTAAAAAAAAAAGGAAGAAAACGACAAACAAATTGAGAAATAATACATAGACAAACAATTTGAGAAATAAAATATACTCCTTCAGTCCATTTTATAGCGTAAATATATAACTTATTTTATAATATAAACTATATTATAAAATGAATGTTACATTTAATATCAAAGAAGTACCTCTATCTATGAACTATAGGAAGAGAGAGGTTCAGAGAACTCATAAAGGGAAGAAAAAGAAGAGCAATGCCACGTAAAAAAGACGGTGCTTTTGCTGCAGTGAGTAAGAAGTAGAATGGCTCACGTTCTGTGCGCTTTTTGCAGGGCCTTTTTCTTTGCGAGGCTACCTTCCTAGTTGCCACTCTCTCTCGCGAACTCATCTGGTTCCCCGATATTAAAAAGAGCCTCCTTTTTACGCCCCGCCTGATCGCTCTTTCGGCTTCTTCCTCTGTATGGGCGTTGCAGCTCAACGTCCCACCCTCGAAACACCAACCTCCCTGCCTCTCCTGACTGCTGATACCAGATATGTCGGCCAATCATCCCGGTTTTATACTCTTCGGCCAAAAGATGTCCTCCTCGTCGGGATCTCCTCCTCCGGCTGCCCCTTCTCTGATTCCATCTAACTCTCCTCCCGAGGTACGTTACTTTTAGCTATTAACCATTCGTGTTTCAGCTTCACGCTTTAGGTTTTCATTGTCATCTTCTCCTCTGTTTTTGTGTTTCTACCAATGAGATAGTCTCCTTTTATTCTTCAAATATACGGGAAATTCTGGACTTTGTATACTTTACAATGTTCCGAGGCATCTGGGCTTCGATGGGAAAACAGAAAACAAAATGCGGGCTCTGGCTCTTTAGCTGTGAGGGAATATGAAGTTCTTCGGCCGTATTTGGTTAAATTCCATTAATGCCACCTTCACACTATTTTTTGTCACTGGGACTGTTCTTCGCTATACGCGCTTCCCGTGTTCTGGATGGTTCGTTGCCAGACTTCATTTCAGTCTTTCATGAACACAAATGGGAGCCAAGTTGTCCTGCCCGGATTATTTCGTTCTTCTCTCTTCATCATGATCAGCACTTAGTATTTTTATCTCTGACTGAACAGCGATTTTAGATTTTCCTGTGAGGCGTTTGTACGTATCGGCTGTTTGGTGCCTTTTCTTCGGTGATTATCCCACTGTTCACTATAATCTATCAGAGATTCTTCTCGTGCTTTGTCAACTATAGTTGCTTCCTTTTTTTTAACCCGTGACCAACTCTTTGGTCAGATAAATGGAAATTACAGAGAGGTGATGTAAAAGGCTAGACATGGCATTTCCGAAAGTAAAGGTCAAAAGAATAATGAATAGAAATTGAAGGAAGAAGTTGAAATATTCATGAAAGTAGATCCGGGTGTTAAAAACTATAATGTACAATTTCTTGATTTTGATGGGAAATGAATATAATCCGGTGATTGTGTTTTCGTTTCTTTCTTGCATACTTCTGGTAAGTTGTCAATCTGATGAGGACTGATTGTGATTTTCATTTTAGCATGATTGGAGTAGCTCAAACAAAGCAGAAGTGGGAACGCCTTCTACCGAAAGCTCCGAACACCAAAATGTGCAGAAAAATGAGCCAACGAAGATAAGCAGTTCAGAAGAATTTAAAATGATGAAGAAACCAGACAAGATTCAACAGTGTCCACGATGCAACAGTATGGATACAAAGTTCTGTTATTTCAATAACTACAACGTGAATCAACCTCGACATTTCTGCAAGAGCTGCCACAGATATTGGACTGCCGGCGGAGCAATGAGAAATGTCCCAGTTGGTGCTGGAAGACGAAGGAACAGGCAACTGTCCTCGCCATACCATCGCCACACTACAGTATCCTCCGAAGGCATTCCAGTTGCAAACTCAAAGACAGACTCATCTTCTCACCAGTGTTTCTCAACTCTTGAATCCTCATCTGCTTTCAAGTCAGCACCCCCAGATAATACTAGTACCGTGTTGAGATTTGGTCCAGATGCCCCTGTTTCTGATTCTGGGAGTTCAATTCTCAATCTTGGAAATTGGGAGGAGGCATCCGGGTGTGGATCTTCTGTGACCAATGCGAGTGGGGCAGGGGGAAATGAAGTATCAGAACTTGCTATGCAATGGAACAGAAATGTGTCCAATCTGATGAATACATCAAATGGTGTGCGATGTTATCCTGCGGCTCCATGGGTGTTTCCGGCGCAGTGGCATGCTGAGAATAAGATTGGGTCACCTAACATTCCTGTGCAATTTGTGGCAGCTCCATGTTGGAGTAATGGGGCTATCTTTTCTGCGGGAGGAACAGGAACGGGAACAGTTTCAATTGGCTCTAATGGCTGCCTCTCCTCCTCATCCTCTACCAGTAATGGCCATTGCTCAGGCAATGGCTCCCCAGCCCTTGGAAAACACTGACGAAGAGAAATCAGACTGGTGTTAATTCCCAACATACTTAAGAGTGGGAACGTTTGGTCAGCTTTTCCAGCAGAGAGCACAATGAGTTCCTTGCTTAATATTCCCCCTTGTAATTCTGACATGATCTTTTGCCCATTGCTAGCTTTAAGTCCTTTTTTAAGAAAATCGGTTTTTGAGGATGTCATTTCTCTGTGGAACCGATTTTATAGTTTTAGTTCTTATTTCGTCTTTAATCAAAATCTGTTGTGTAGTTTGATCCTTAAAAACCGATGATTCTTGGCGTTTGCGCCGCTATAATCAACCAGGTTAAGTTAGTACAGTGCTGAGCCTTTTATCTATCATTCACATGATTCAAAAACTAGAAGTAGTATATAGAGATCTGTTATGGTGCACAATGCCCATGTATATATCTATTCCCCGTGTGCCTCCTTGCATCTACCGAATCGAATCTTTTCTGTAAACGAAGTCAGTGCTGGAGGGGAAACTGGGTAAGTTTTGTAGTTTTGGGAAATATCGATCTTGGGAAGAGTTCAACATATACAAGTCCAGTTATTTTCCAAGAAAATACTTGGGATGAGTAATACAGTAGTAAATAGTAATCTAAAAATTGGGAGTAGATAAGGTTGGTGAACAGTGGAAGTCAAAGTCAGTGCAATGTCGATGGTTGAATCGGGCAAGCAAAGTCATGATTGGGGGATGCTCTCCAAAGTGCAGTTGGGAGCAGGCAAAGCTGACGGTTCTTTTGGAGCTTTTCTGGCTTTTGAGGGACTTTTTCAAACCTTTCTTTTTGCAAAAATGAAATTTTTTTTGACTTGAGGAAAGTTCGGATCAAAAAGCCTTGCTTTAAGCCAGTGCTTTTTACGATGAAAGACGCTTTCGCTGAAGGAGCACAGATATTTTCGTCGTCAGTCATCACAGACATATCTCTTTACGACTCATATCGTGTGAAAAGACGTTCTTTTCTGGGTTTTCAGTCATTAAATTAACATGAACAACAGACCAACATCAATTCTCCTTTAATCCTACAAAGTTAAAGGCACTCATTCACTTTCTTCTTTTTCCGCGCAATTAAACTTTTCCCGTTGCTTATGTTCTTGCAAATGAAGAAAACTTAATCCCAAGGGAATCCACGAGAAATCACACCTTTACGTACTCCCATTAGTCCCTCTACCCTCCTACGTCATTGCTTACCCCATGAAGCCAGGGAATACAGGTACGTCAACGAATATTTTTATTCGGTATATATCTCTATTTTAGAATTCTTGATGAAATATTAACCATTTTTGTTTTGTTGGGAAAAAAACTCAGGAGTATAAAAATATTTAAATCAAACGTGTCTATTTAATTGCATTTTGAGCATTTAAGTGTAGCTTTGAATTGAATGGCATTTATTTCTGAAAACGGTGGATGTTGTTGGAACCAATGTTTAGTGAGGTGAGAACTTGGCATAATAAATATATAGAATTTGATGTAAGTATTGTACTTTTTAATTTGATGTTAAATATAGAATTCTAATCCACTTTGTTTCTAATATTTATTTATTTTGTTTAAGATAATTCTTGTAGTAATTACATATGTTAAAAGTTTTATTGTATTGTGGTTCTAACTTATATATATGATTAGTAAGAGCATTTTAGAAAAGACAACACCTATTTATTATAAATAATTAACTCAATTAATTTTTTTAATCTATTCAAAATAATCAACTAACTCATATATTAACATGAGGAGGGGAGATGGTAATTGGAACCAGTTTTTAGCGCAGACTTTCTGGGAACCGATTCTGATAAACTATTGGAGTGTTTCAGTGTATGCATTGACCTTGTACACCTCATTAAAAAAAAAGAGAGAGGCAAATTTGTTGCTATTTTTCTGTCTTTTAACAAATTTAATAAAGCATTAATTGCTTTAATTATGATAGTACTATTATCTTTGCTAATTTTAAAAGTCAAACGCAACATTAATGATTAAAACATTAATTTCAATCGGGATCTTAATGTTGACTTGACTCCAGGCTCTTCAAAGTCATGCTTCGATTTTCTTCCAATAATATCGTTTATCAAAACTAAGAGTGAGTAAAACCGAACCATAACTGAAAATTAAATCGAATCAAACTCAATTTCAGTTTTTTTGGTAGATTATTTCGGTTTTCGATTACATATTCGTTTTTTATTTTTTTAACAATTCAGTTTTAGTGTTCGATTCGGTTTGTGAAAAAAAAAATTTAGTTATAACCAAAAAACCAAAAATATATATTATATATTTATATTTAATAAATATTATTATAATAAATATATGTGTGGGTTTATTTGAACTTTTTAAATATATTTATATTCAATAAATATTATTATAATAATAAATATTATTATAATAAATCACATTAGATGATAAAATATTTATTAATTATTGGTTGTAATTGTGTTTTATTATTATTATTAATTTAAAATCACTTTTCATATTTATATAGTTTGGTTAATCAGTTAACCGAATCGAAATATTTTGATTAATTCGGTTTTAGTTATTTCGGTTATTACTGATAATTGAACCGAAAAACTGAATACTCACATCTTCAAGACTAATGTTGTGTTGAGTATTTTATTTTAAATGCTACTCCTCCGGTCCTAAATGTAAGACCCTTATACACGTATAAGGGTCTTATATTTAGAACCGGAGGAGTACCTAATTGGAAGACATAAAACACACAGGGTATCTGGGCTCCCAAAGAGGTGCTCAACGTAGGAAACATAATACTGGGCTTCATTGCGATCGCCCGCCTTTATAAAAACAAACCCAACTACATGATTCCAACGCTACTGTTCACGTTAAAAATAATTACTTCAAACATTATAAACATGTTAATGCTGTGTACGGTTTTCATTAATACACACAACACGACTTGGTTCTACAACAGTAAAAAAAATTAATACTCCTCTGATCCTTAATATAGGACCCAATTCTTGAGTTAGTTTTGGTTCTAAATATAAGACCCATTTCTCATATTTATCGATTTTCTCTAAATTACCCCTATGGATACTTTCTCAACCATAATCAAGTGGAAGAGGGAGAGGGGGTATTAAGAAATATAATTATGGTGTTTTAGGAAAAATGTGTCACTTTTCTTATAATTAACTAACTTACCTAACTTCCTTAATTTAATCAAATTAGTTAAATGGGTCTTATATTAAGGACCGAAAGAGTACATATATTGACTAAAACAGAAAGAATTCATTGTACTAGCAGAAATACTGGGCATTGAGTATAGACAATTGTTGTAATCTGTAAAGGAAAAATAGGGCGTATTTGAAATGTACTTTTTAATCATGATTTATAAAAGACGAGATAAACTGCAAACATGTTAGAAGAATTTTGTCTCATGTGACAACATCACAGTATTGACCTAAGAAAATAATTGGGAACATAATGCTTTAATTTTTCACTGATTAAGAGACAGATAAACAAGAAAGAGAGGAGAAGCAGTGGGGCGGCAATATAGTTGGCAATAAGAAATATAAAACGATGAAACACCCATGGCTTTGACGGAGATATTAACAAATGGAGTGAATGAATGGTCGATCTCTCCCCCTCTCCATAGCACCCGCCCAAAGCACAAAAGTGAGAATGCAAAAGTCAAATTCAGCTGTTATTGAAATTGTCATACCCTCTCCGTCATGCAACATTTTCAAGACATATAAATAATCTGTATGGAAATTTTAATACTATTTCGTCTTTTTGTTCATATTAATTACAGGTCAGTTTTAGTGTGTTTATTGTCTCCTTCTTCCTTTCTGTAGGCAAGGGCGTTTTATTAAAAAAAAAAATCTATTTTAATATCTTTATTATTTTTCACTAATTTTTTTAAGTTACGTAATTTAATTATTTTTATATTATAAAAAAATGAAATGGACTCTCTCTCCTACATCATCCATGCCAACTCAGGTAATCACCAAATGGCCGGCGCCCTCACCCGGCGCGGCTAATATATTTTTGTATCCATTGGCCAACTTCATAGGTTTGTTTTTTACCCCTCCCAAAATTCAACGTCAATTATAATTATAATTTTCGATGTTATCCAGGTTAACGATTTGAATTAGTACTCGTCCGGTCCTTAATATAAGACCAATTTAACTAATTTGATTAGATTAAGGAAGTTAGGTAAGTTAGTTAAGTATAAGAAAAGTGACACATTTTTCCTAAAACACCATAATCATCTTTCTTAATACCCCTCTCCCTCTTCTATTTGATCATGGTTGAGAGACTATTCATAGGGATAATTTAGAGAAAATTGATAAATATGGGAAATGGGTCTTATATTTAGGACCAAAACCAACTCAAGAATTGGGTCCTATATTAAGGACCGGAGGAGTATTATTTTTAAAATGAAGCTTGACCATGTTAACAACCGGAAAAGAAACAAATACGGAGAGTTTCATACGCAATTATTTCAACGTTAGTCCAAATTACTTTTTTGCACCACAAAATACTTTTTTCTCCGCAGAACAATATACTTTAAGTTCGGACTTCGGACAGTAAGTTTTGGGAAATTTTTCACAAATATGAAATATAATTATGTAATATTTTCCCTTAAAAACTATAGTATATAATCAAGAGGGAAAAAAATAATATAATCGACGCAGTTAGCTTTATTTTATATAAAATAATACTAGCATGTTGGAGAAGTCAACAAGTCAGAGATATATAACTATTTAATTAACATTAGATGGAGACGAATAAGCCAGAATAGCGATGGCAACTTGGGCATCGTCATCTTTTTGCGCTCTGTATATAAACATGCTCAGATATCACAATCCGATCCTGTCGAGAAACAAAGCAAATTCACTTGGTAGCTAGTGGGGTACAAGCAATTTGCAATACTAAGCCAAGTAACCAAACAATATAATGAAGATATCATCGGTTGTTGTCTGCATCCTGGTGCTGGTTCTTCCCATGGCATTCGCCAAGCTCAAGCTCGGATTCTATGACTCCTCCTGCCCTAATGCAGAGTCCATCGTGAAGCAAGCCGTGCAGAGGCGATTCAACGACGACAAGACCATCACTGCGGCCTTGCTTCGCATGCACTTTCACGACTGTTTCGTCCGAGTGAACATTAATTCCGCATTTTAATTACCCGTTTAAAAATTTGAGTGATCATTCCATATTGTACTAATTATTCTGGCTAACTGATTAATAACATGAATCGCAGGGTTGCGATGCATCGTTACTGATAAACTCCACTGACGCCGAGAAAGACGCTGGTCAAAACGCAAGCGTACGGGGATTTGATTTCATCGACGAGGTGAAGGAAAGGCTTGAAGCAGCGTGCCCTTCCACGGTGTCGTGTGTTGATATCATAACACTAGCCACCAGAGACGCCGTGGCTCTGGCCGGAGGACCCAAATATGAGGTTCCCACCGGGCGACGCGACGGGCTTGTCTCTAGAAGCAGCGAGGTTGATTTGCCAGGACCTGGCATCTCAGTGCAGAATGCCTTGAATTTCTTTGCCAGGAAGGGAATCGGACGACAAGACATGGTGAGCCTTATGGGTGGACACACGGTGGGAAAGGCGTTTGGTAGATTTTTGGACGCCAAGACGCCCTTCGCAGTGGATAACCAGTACTATAAGCAAATTCTTCAAAAAAATGGCGTTCTGTCTATTGATCAAAACCTTGCTGTCTCTACGTCAACAAAGAGTATTGTTACTGCCCTTGCATCTGACACTGCTCAGTTTCAGCAAAGCTTCGCTGATGCAATGGTCAAGATGGGTAGAATTCAAGTTCTGGTTGGTAATGCAGGAGAAATCCGTAAGAAATGCAGTGCTTTTAACAATTAATTAAGCACGACCGCAGAATTGCTGCAATTTTTTATACTTTTTATTGTGAAATGTCGAATTGTATGCTTGTTTCTATTTCTATTTGGAAATTAACGTGACGTAGTCAAATAACAAAATGCAGCAACACTGCGTTCTTTTTTAATACTAAAATTAACCAAATGAGAATTACATTTTTTTTTTCCAATGAGGAAGCTGGACAGCGACTTTGACATTAAAGGAAGTTCGAACGAGACGAGTAGAACTTTTTAGAAGGAAAAGGTTGCCTGTTCACAGGCACAGGTCTAATTTTAGCCTTTTTAACGTCAGCCGGCACCTAGCTAGCTGCACAATTGTGTACGTGTGAGCGCATATGCATGGAATTGCAGCAAGATGCATGTTAATTAGGTCCAGTTGCTAATATGATTGTAAATAGTGTAATTTGAGCCGTACGTACTACTAAGTACCATTTAACTTTATGATCCAGTTGTCACTATTTTTTAGTACTAAGAAAAACAAATGGAGGTATAGTACATAATTAAGCAAGTGAGAATTAAGATTTTTGAATAAGGAAACTGGCGGGACAACGACTACGAAAAGACGTTCAAATTAGGAGACAAATGGAACTTTTATAGAAAGAAAAATGTTACTCCTCCGGTCCTAATTATAAGATCCAATTGACTTATTTGAGGAGATTAAGGAAGTAAGTTAAATTGGTTATTATAATAAATAAATGTTGTCATTCCTAAAATATCCTTGCTAATTAAATATATTGGCTAAAACTATCATTATTAGAAGGATTATCTTGGAAAAAAATGCATAAATATAAGAGACAAATGGATTGGGTCTTATAATTAGGACCAAATAAAAAGTCAAATTGGGTCTTATAATAAGGACCGGAGGAGTATTGTACTTGTGAACAGGTCCAGTTATAAGACAGAGTTAGTTAGCATCTTGCTGCTGACTGTATATTTGAGGAAGTTGAGCACATGGCATTGAAGCTAGCTGTCCTGTTATTGTTGGGCCGTTACGGCTATTCATATAGATTATACAGGGATAATTAATATGTAAGTCTTTACAGTTTTAATTGATTTTGAATCAGATTCTTATAGTTTTATTTCTTTTTATTAGGTTCTTATACTTTCACATATTTTTAATTAAGTTTTTGTATTTATTTTTCTTTTTATCAAATTCTTATAAGTTCACCTCATTTTTAATTAAGTCCCGGAATTTTTTACTCTTTATTTTATGAATTCTAATAGGAAAACTTGCAAATAAAGACCTCCCAAATATGTAAAATTGTGATTTGGGATCTTGAATTTAGAAAATAGTAAATAAGGACCCAGTCTCACTTTTGTAAATATGAAATGTGGGTGAAATGTCTGAAATATCTCTCAATCAAATGACAAATTGACTATAACAAATTAAATGACAAGTTCACTTTAACAAATGATAACTTCAATAGATCAAATCACAACTTGGTTGAGTGTATGCCAAATGACGAGTTGACTATAAGAAATAACAAGTTCACTTTAATGAATAACAACTTCAGGAGACCAAATTACAATATGATTGAGGGGCATTTTAGATATTTCACCCATATTTCATATATACAAAAGTGAGATCAGGTACTTATTTGCTATTTTTTAAATTCAGGATCCCAAATCATAATTTTACATATTTGGGGGTATTTATTTGTAATTTTTCCATTCTAATAATACTGTTCTATAATCATAAAATAGTATATATTATTTAATATTAGTTTATAAACAATAATATTTTAAAAATAATGAATTATTATAATAATTTTATTTTTTTTCCAGCAAGAAAATATTAATTGTTCCAAAAAAAATTTCTTGAATTAATTAATTATATTACTAATATTAATTTAATTTTATTATTAATATTTTATATTTCTGTAATCTATTTAATTAAGTTTATATTTAACTAATAAATAAAAATTAAAACAACATGGACCTGATTAAGAATTTAGGGAAATTATAAGGACTTTATAAAAGAAAAATAAATACAAGGACTTAATTAAAAATATGTGAAACAATAAGGACCTAATAAAAAAAAACTAGAAAGACCTGATTCAAAATTGGTTAAAACTATAAGGACTTACATATTAATTAATCCGATTATATATTAATAAAAAATTGTTATGTAAAAGTATATCTTCTTTCGTAAATATGATAAATTTCGTCCGGTAAACATTTTATTTGAAGAAAATGCATGAATCTCTAAACTTGGTGTGATTTTATCGGTAAATAGAACTGTGGCTTGCCTCATATCTTACAAAATGATAAATTAAAATTAAAATGTTTTTTCATATAAGGACTTTGTTAATGAATAATTTGTAAATACATCTATAAAGCTTGAAGGCATACCTCAACTCAAACAGCAAACTTATTGATTCAAATCACTTAAACTTTTTTTATTGGGAAAAAATTAAAAAAAAAAACTTTGTATATATTTTTTAATTTTGAAACTTGCAAAATAAAAGTTTGACCGAGTTCTTGATGGCACTGTCTTCTTTCGCTCTCCACAAAAGTGAGCACATCGGATTCACATGACATTTTGGAAGGTTCATACAAACCAAGCGGAGCAATCTAGGAAGAAAGAGAACTATTTTCAACGAGAACTTTGGAATAAATTCCAAGGTTAATGCAGCTAACATCTAGTTCTTGAAACGAACGCACGATCGAGGACGTACGCAGTTCAGCCCAAGACGTTCTATTATTTATCTCTTTGAACGTAACATTCACGACGATGTTAGGAGATTGCGTTATATGGATAGATGAATGCTTCTATATCATTGTCCAGAATCGAAAATGACGTTTACCTCCCCACTATGTATAGTTATCATCGTCGTCGACGACCTAGAATCGGTGGTTATTAAGCGGAGAAATAATACTACTTCCGGTACTTAATACAAGACCTTATTTGACTTTCATTTTGGTCATAAATATAATACTCTAATCCACTTTGTCTTTTATATTTAAGCATGTTTTCCCAAGATAATCCTTATAACAATGGTAGTTCTAACCAATACACATACACTTGATTAGCAAGGGTATTTTAGGAAAGACAACACCTATTTATTAGAAATAACTAACTTAACTTATTTTTTTAATCTTTTCAAATTAGTTAACTAGCTCTTATAGTATTCAATAGTTGAACAAGTTCATTATATTATTTATTATGTCAGCGAAGAAGCCAAAATCATCGAGGGTGGCTAGCTGTATGCATGGATCTCAAGTATAAATAATAGATGACTTCACTGGGACCAAAAGCGCAAGACATTAATTACGGAGGAAAATCAAGCAAGCATGTCTACACACAGCAAGAACAAGACGCTGCTCTTCTTTTTCTTCTTTTTCCTCCACAAACTTCCCTCCGGATTTGGAGCTCTACAGGTTGGTTTCTATGGCTCTTCCTGTCCAAAAGCAGAGTCCATTATACAGCAAGTGGTGCATCGCCGTATCAGTGACGACAGGTCCCTAGCCGCATCTCTGCTTCGCCTGCAATTCCATGACTGTTTCGTTCACGTAAGGCGCCTTAATAATGAAAATTCGTTTAGTTCTTTCTATTCGTAAACACGACATGCTAATGAACACGTACGTTAAATAACTATGTGTTGTTTCTTCCAGGGATGCGATGCCTCGCTTCTGATAGGAACCGGGAACGAGCATGGATTAAAGAAACCAGAGAAAGGCGCGTTTGATAGCCTCTTCCTTCGAGGATTTGAAGTAATCGACGAGATCAAAGAAAGCCTGGAAGCCGAATGCCCTTCTACGGTTTCTTGTGCCGATATCATAGCACTTGTGGCCAGAGATGCGGTGGGTGTTGCCGGAGGACCCAAATACGAGGTTCTTACAGGGAGGCGCGATGGCCTTGTTTCAAATGCCGGCGACGTTAAATTACCACAGCCTGATTTTTCAACGAAGCAAGCTCTTGATTCTTTCATCAGTGTTGGTTTAACATCATCTGACATGGTTACCCTTTTGGGTGCTCATACCCTTGGTGTTGCCCATTGTGGTTTCATCGACCCTAGGCTCGAACCAAGTTCTGATGGGAATCAATCTTCTGATCACCCTCCGATGGATCCATTGTTGAAAGCCAAGCTGGCCAAGTATTGTTCTGAGGATGAAAATCGCCGTGTGTTTATGGACCTAGGTTCACCCTTTGTTTTTGACAATTCATTCTATAAGCAGCTTCTTCTGAGAAGGGGCATATTGGAACTGGATGAACGCCTCGCTTTTGATAATTCCACAAGAGTTCTTGTTTCCAGGTATGCGGCAGACAACGGGGCATTTCTGCGGGGCTTTGCGAGAGCCATGGTCAAGATGGGAAGCATTCAAGTTCTTGTTGGAGAGGAAGGGGAGATTCGAAAGAATTGTGGGGCTTTTAATAATCCCGAGTAGAACTGATTATAACCGAGAGACTAGCTAGCTAGCTTCCTGAATAATTAGGCCATACACATGACCTAACTATAGTTCCGATGGCTGTAATATCAAACTTATGTTTGCTTGTATGTGCACGTTCAGGTCAGAATTCAGATTAGAAATAACAGAGGACAAAAATCCCTCGTAGAAACGGTTTGCATTGCCTGAATTCTCATCGATTCTATTTATTGCTTTTGGCCAGAGAATTGGCATCGTTACTGCATGTAGAATATTTTATGAATTTAGAATAATAAAAGTTCCTCAATTAAGTTCAGTAGTGAATATAGATTCTAAACATACAAAGACTTGTAGTTGTGACGGTCTGACAGATCAACTCTCAGGGGTAAAGTCCACGTATATTCTGTTAGGACCACGTATAATCTCGTCATTGCTATATGATATTTACATAAACAAACACGCTGTGCTTTAGCTATTAATGATTTTTTATAAGATATAAATAACTAAATTACGAAGATAAGAAATTAGTTTAAATAATTTAAAATAATAAATATTTTAAAAAATATATATTCAGCGAGTGCGATGAGAGGGACTAACCGTTAATGAATAAGGTTGGCCGTGCCCCCGGCGGTCCAACAGGCTTCCCAAGACCCGGTAATGAATCCCTCTGACCCTACGATGGATCCTACGTACGATGAAGGCTGAACTGACCAAGTTACGTTCTACCACGACCAACTCTGAAGCCGTGGCGTTTTTGGACCAAGGCACGCCGTTTAATTTTGACAACTCATTCTACAAGCAGCTTCTTCTGAGGAAGGGTATTGAAACTGGATCAACGGCTTGCTTTTGATAACTCCCGAGAGGTCTCGTTTCCAAGTATGCGGCAGATAATGAGATGTTTCTGCAGAGTTTTGCAAAAGCAGTAGTGAAGATGGGACGCATCAGGGTTCTGACCGGAGACCAAGGGCAGATTCGAAAGAATTGCAGGGCTTTTAATAATCCCGAGTAGAACACTAGTGTTTGAGCCATCGCAAGATTGTCTTCTAGTTCTTTTCCTCCGAATGTTTCATTTTCAATTCAATATCATTGCCGAGATGACAAGCTGGCGACCAGTTGCATTAGCTTTATAATAAGGCATTGACGAAGGACATTTTTATTAAACTAAAGTAAAACGGCAATTTGTTTTTTGGCATGAAAAACGACCCTTGCAATTACCGTGAGCTGCGAAACTTTTTCCCCCCAGAAAAAGAGACCTTCTTTTTCTTTGGGTTGCCCACTTAATTTACTGGAGTTTTGCTCTGACTACATCTGAATCTAACCCGCGTTACGCACCTGGCTGTGGTGAGTGAGTCTTTCAACGGAGATTTCTGCATACGCTGAGGCTCGAACTCGAAGCCTCGCTTAAAAGAAAAAAAGAGAGACCTTCTAAACATACAGACAAGCAGCCTTGGTTTTGGGCCTTGCACCAATACGCGCAACTGACACAAAAGCCCAGTATAATGGGTTCTTTCTGTATTTAGGTAAGTTAGTTTGGTTCATGCCTGCAAATTAAGGAGGGGAGGCAGTGTTTTTTTCATGCTAGAAATGGATAGCCCATCAGGACACACTACCCATCACTATATATCCCATCAAATCATTATATAACAAAGTATATAAGCAAATTTTAGGGGGATTTAGGAGCTGCCTTGATTAGCTTTTTAGAAGTTATTTTACAATATGAGATAAATATGTTAGGGAAATCTTGTATCTGCTTACATTAAAACAACCTTTTCAAGTGATTCAGGGGTTGCCAAACTCTCCTTTAGAAATGGATGGAAACCATGGGTTGCACAAACACGTTATTTTAAGAAAGTTGGGTTACTGTAATTAAATAATTTAATTAGTTTATTTAACTAAATAAATAATTCGTACATTCAGAATCAGATGAGTAATAAGACAAGGTGTTATAATTTTTTATAATTTAACATTTTAACAATATAATTATCAATTCCTAACCCATTAAAGAGTCTTCACATAATTACACCCATCCTTTTCCCCCTTGGTGAATGCAGTGCCCTCAATTTTGTGCATACTCTTCACGTGCGGCTGCGCTTCCAACAATTTTCATTAATTAACACATAAAATTTGTTAAATCTTAATTAATCATATCTCTTGTGCACTCCTAACGCTTTTTTTTTTTTGTTAAATCATAATATTAAAAAGGATCCTAATCTAAAAAATTATCCGCATTCGAGACCACCAACCCACCCTCCACGTGAATTCCCCTCCCTTCAATTTCGTCCTGATCCTCCAACTTGTCTTTGTTTTAACCCCACCATTCTCATTATTGATGCAAAAAAGCAGCATTAAAAATTGTTGCGCGTTCCCCAAAATTGTTTCTGATTCGTAGTTTTAAATTCCTACTTGCATATTAAATTACGTGCAACTTTCCACTTACACACACAAGAAAAGTTTCATACATATCCACCTTCAATTGTTTAAACTTTTGGTAATCTCATTCGCTATTGACATTACTGTATTCCGCAATCCTTTGAGGGACTTGGCTTCTAAATTCAGGTGAACGCGCGCGCGCGCGCGTGTGAATAGTCGATGATAGAGCACATACATGGGTACCAGCTTTTAATTTCTTCCTACACACATGCTGAAAATTTTGACACTCATGGCGGCTTCAACTCAGAGCATGTGCTCGCATCTCCACAGATTAAACTTTACAGATGGTTTCCAAGTAAACTATGGATTTTATACTTATAATGTGTGCGTGACAAATCTCTCTCTCGTCCCCCACACACAGTTAGAAAAATAATATCGGTCATGGACTCCTTGCTTGCTCATTGGTTAACTTCCCAAAAACCATGCCTGGCTCTTCTTTCTATATTCACTTATTCAGCACGCGTTAATATAATTATTAATTTAGTGTGACTGTCCAGTCATCACTCCTCCTCACTAAGGCGAAAGCGTGGAGGACCTCCTCTCGCTCGATATATATAACTTCCGTTTGCCCCTCCCCAACACACGCAAATATACAGAGATCCAAAAAAATGAAGATAGCCAATGTTATCCTCATCTTCCTTTTCGTGCTTCCCTTCTCATTTGCCGACCTCAGGGTTGGATTCTATCGCACAAGCTGCCCATCCGCTGAGACTATCGTCCGTCGAGCCGTGCGAAGGCACTTCAATCGCGAACGAACCATCACCGCCGACTTGCTTCAGATGCACTTTCATGATTGCTTTGTTAGGGTAAGATCCTCTACAAGTCCAAGCGACTCTATACATACGTGTTTTAGTATATGACTATATGTGTTTTGTCAAGCATAAATGTTGGCGGTATGGTTTCAGGGATGTGACGGCTCCATACTAATTGATCCACGAGGGCAAAAGGGATCGGAGAAGCAGGCGGGACCCAACATAAACCTCGAAGGCTTTGACTTGATAGACGAGATAAAGGCCGCCGTAGAAAAAGCTTGTCCTTCCACGGTTTCCTGCGCAGATATCGTAACACTAGCCACAAGGGATGCGGTGGCTCTGGCGGGAGGACCCAGATACAACGTTCCAACGGGGCGCCGTGACGGGCTGGTGTCAAGTCCTAATGAAGTGAATATTCCCGGACCGTCGCTGTCGGTGTCTCAGGCATTCGAATCCTTCAGAGTAAAAGGGTTTTCGTTGAACGAAATGGTGACTCTTCTGGGAGCTCACACGGTGGGCTTCACACATTGCAGTTTGGTCCGAGGCAGGCTGTCCAGTTTCAGAAACCGTGATCCTACCATGGACCCTGCTTTGGATGCTAAGCTGGGACGAATCTGTGGGTCGGCACAGAGGCCGGCAAGGAACGATCCTAAGATAGTGCTGGACCAAAATACATCGTTGGTATTTGATAACGAGTACTACAGGCAGGTTAGGATGAGGAGAGGTGTGCTTCATATTGACCAGCAGTTGGGTGTGGATGCGTCGTCCAGAGGCATCGTGGCTGGTTTTGCTGCCAACGGGAACAGCTTTAAGCGAAGCTTCGCGAAGGCTATGATAAAGATGGGAAGCCTTGATATTTTGGTTGGAAACGCTGGGGAGATCAGGAAGCATTGCAGGGCTTTCAATAATCCTCGCTAGAATAGCGTGTGTGTTTGGCCAATCATATATATTCCAGCTAAATTATTAAAGAAGGCTTCCGAGTCTTCAGTAGTAGTGGAGTCGAATTAATTATCTGTCTCATTGTATCGCATTGATCGCCCTATAAGATAGACGGTGGTGTGACCCTCAGACGTTGATCTTTTGGATTCTGGAATGATGATTTAATTTGGTTTACTTTTAAATCTTGAGAACGAATCTCTCGTGGAATGATTTGGTTTATATTTCTTACACGTGATCGTTTGCTGTAAGCTGTACATAGAAAAACGAAATAGTTCAAATTTACGAGCCAGCAAGGGAAGAATGTCTTGCCGGTTGGTTCTCCGGCGGAGACAACTGGGGCGGACAAACCAGCATAAAAAACTGTGGATTAATGTAAAATAAGAGATGAAGAAAGTCGGGAAAGAGCTGGGAACTCCTCCACGTAAGGTAATAATTAAGGATTATTGGATAAATTAGCATTAAACTTATGTTTGCTTGTATGTGCATGTTCAGTTCATAAGTCAAGATCAGAAATAACAGAAGACGGAAAAATCCCCCATGGAAACGATTTGCATTGCCTGAAATCTCATCGATTCTGTTTATGGCTTTTGGCCAGAGAATTCGCATCGTTACTGCATGTAGAATATTTTATGAATTTAGAATAATAAAAGTTCCTCAATTAAGTTCAGTAGTGAATATAAATTCTAAACATACAAAGACTTGTAGTTGTGACAGATCAACTCTCAAGGGTAAGGTCCACGTATATGCTCGTCATTACTATGTGATATTTATATATGCCGTGTTTTAGTTATTAATTATTTCTTAATATAAGATATAAATAACTACATTACGTGGATAAAAAAAATTAGCTTAAATAATTTAAAATAATAAATATTTAAAAAATATATTCAGCTCGTGTGA